CTTTGCCACCTCCTCCAGCTACTTTGTCTGTAACTGGTTCTCCACTTTATAAACTCTTAAGGAATTTATAGCCTGGTTCACACATTTCAATTCTTGTTTATATACTATTGTACATTCTAGGCAAAGGTTCAAAGGTACAAGATGGGAGTGAGCGTGACACAAGTGAACAACCCATCTGCCTTATGTCTGGTTCCTTCCTCACAAGGTGCTGGGGTAAAACTGGCTCAAGTGACACCAGGCAATTGGCAGACTGGAGAGAGTACCTGAAAAGGCTAGAGGTGGGAAGAGCCAGAGAACGGCTGGGTAAGCCACGTCCTAGGGAACACAGTGGTTCAAATCCAAGGGCGGATGAATTGGTATCTAAGTTCCAAGGGGTAACTGAAGAGAGCTGCTGCTCAAACTCCTCCTGGAAGTCACCAGAGTCGTGGGTTTGGAATAGCATGTCCCAAAAGGCCACTTCAGGTTCCTGAATCAGAAATGCAATAGGAGAGGACCTCAGAGCAGGGATTTGGGGGAGGTGGAAAATAATGTCAAAAGTGTCCATGATGGAATGCAGTTAAACACATTTTCTTCAGAGAAAACAAAAAGAGACATGAATAAAAGGGATTATCTCTCACAGTTTTATAACCTTACTGAAGCTGTTCTTTCTATACCCTAGAACTTCTAATGGATCAAGCTCAGCCCGTTAACCACTTCTTTGGCTCCACCATCCCACACTTTTTCAGACAATCTTACTTCTTGTGCAGCATAAGTTCTCTTATCTAATTCTAATACCTGTTACTCATCCATGCTCATCTTCTCATCCAGTGGGCTAGATGTGGTAGCCAGTCTCCAAGATGGCCCCCAAAGTCCTCACTTCCCTGTTATTTGTGGCCCTGTGTGGTCCCCTCCCACACTGTATCAGGTTTGGTCCATGTGACCAATAGAATACAACAAAAGCAAAGATGTGTGACTTCTGAGGTTGGGTCATGCAAGACCTTGCTGTCCTCACCTGGCTTTCTCTTGGGTTGCCTGCTCTGGGGGAAGCTGGCCACCATGTAGTTAGGACACTCAAGAAGCCTAGGGAGAGGCCCATGTGGAAAGGAACTGAGGCCTCCTGCCCAGAGCCATGTGAGCAAGCCACCATGGAGGTAAATCCTCCAGCCCCAGTCACACCTTTAGGTGACTGCAGGCCTGGCTAAGATCTTTACTGCAAACTCATGAGAGAACCCAAGTCAAAACTGCCCAGCTAAGCCATTCTCAAATCCCTGCCCATAAAAACTGTGAAGATAATAAAGGTTTGCTGTTATTTTAAGCCACTAAATTTGGGGGTAATTTATTACACAGCAGTAATTAACTTGTGCACTAGAATAGCTGTTTCTCTAAAGATGCAACTCTCGTGAAAGCGCCTTGCATTGGTTACCACCACTAATGTGCACTTGCTCCTCGGTCATCAGCAGTTTAATTTGCAAGTGTACTTTTAAGTTCTTAAAGAACAGCCGACTCAGAGGCCTACTTAAAAGCGCCACCTGCTGGTGGTAACTTAACAGCATCCCAAAGCAACTGGAATAATTGGTGCTGACGGCCAGTGCCTCTCTCCCTTTATCAATTCCTTTCTTTCTGCCTGCAAATATGCAAAAGTCTCTGTTACTACAAAAAGAAAGCCAAATATCACAAACCTTTCAGTGTTTTTTTTCCCCTAAATCACTGCCAAACCTCTCAAAAGTTTAGTCTGCCCTCCCACCCCCTGCTTCATGGATATCTTCATGGAAGTTAGATAGAAAGAAAATAAGAAATGAATAAAGTGATTGCCTAGCAGCAGAGGCCACTTGATGTTGGTTGGCATGATTTAGCATTACCCTGCTTTACAGACAAACAAACTGATGACCAGAAAGGGTTAAAAGGAAGGAAGGAAGGATAGAAGAAAGCCCAGAATCACACAGAAGGAAGTAGCCAGGGCCACCTGTACAATTTGAGGGTCCCAGTGCAAGATGAAAATGTAGAACCACTTGTTCAAGAAGCTAGAAAAAAGTGGTGTTAAAGGTGTTAAAACATAAAGCCTTTTCCTTTCTTCTGTGGTCTCTCCCTCAACTTGCCATGGTGTTTTGTTTTTTTTTTTTATTTGCTATATGACATCATTCTAAATAAAGGAAAATTACAATTTTAAATTAATGGTATGAATTTTTCCATTCATCTTTATATTATGCAATGCCAGTTTTAAATGCAAATATGAGAGCATTTAATTTGTATGTGGAATCACCAAAATGACACAATTCATATTTCATAGCTCATGCATGCATATATATTTCATTCTTATTGGGGTAGTGGAAACGCTGCACAAACTCACTCAACTGTTTTAATTTTACTTCTTGATATGTATGTATTCTACCAACACTCACTACCTTTGCTTACTGATGGATAAGGAAGGCCTGAAAGGAGGAGGAACTATGGGTTATAGAAAGTGTCTATATGTCATCATATTTAGTGTAAGGGGTTGGCTAATACAGAGTAGTAACACGAGCAAGAAAGAATATGATAAGGTTCCTCCGTCATTTGTGTTTCTGAAGACACCACTGCCTTCTTCCCACACTCATTACAAGTTCTGGTTCCAGCGAAAAATGTGGCCTCCAGGTATTGTCAGCATCCCTGCTTGCTCAGTCATAGACATGACACACTTACTTTGTACTCACAGTGAGTCTCACTAACCTTCTGCACATAGTGGGTTCGCTGGAATTCTGTGTCCACAGGGTATTGTAAATGCTCTATGTGAATGGGGCGGCAAGGAATGGTGACACATGTCATATTGCCCATATTGTCTCTATTTACACGCATGTCCATTGTCCCACCAGATTTAGCTTATGAAACACAAGTTGAAAGATAACATTATTAATAATTTCAACAGCAATGACAAAGCATTAAATTAAGTGTGGCGCCCTTCTGAGTGCTGGGCCACGTGCCACTGCACAGGTCGCACACCCACAAAGCCAGCTCTGAAATAGCTAAACCAAGAGTGAACTCATATCTGACTCCAAAGGCAGGTCTCTTATCCCATCGCCTGGAGTCTTCGCAAGTCAAACAGGGCAAGGCATTGGCAGAGTGATCAAAGAATGTCAAGAAGATGAGAGAGTTTTAGGAGGCTGTAATAGACAATATCAAACTGCTGGCCTTAGCTCTAGGATGGTTAGAGAAGTTCCTGAAGATATAAAGGGCTGAGGACTAGGAGAGTGGGGAGGGGTAAAGGGATTAAAGTCTGGGAGGAGAAGGTTGAGGAGGCAGAAGGGCTTGGGAAGGATATGGTTGTCAGAAGGACAGAACAGCCCAGTTGCTTTCAGCAGACTTACAGACTGACAGGAGTTATGACCTAAAAGGATGTCAGTTCCCAAGCGTGTAAGAGACAACGTCCTAACCTGTAGATGCTTAGGGAACATTCATTTGGGTGGCCAGCGTCTACAGGGTACCTTCAAAAAGGGTCAAGACCAGAGAGACAGCCAGTTTTAGGGATCGGACAAAACGATGTCACAACAGGTAGGTCACCCTGGGATGCATTCCTCAGGAGGCCGCGCAGGAGGTCAAATTAAGGAGGGCTACTGGCAAAGAGGTAGTAGCTAGCTACAAGGCTGAGGCCAGGGGACAGCCGCGATGGAGGTAGGGTCTCTGATCAAGAAACAGACCACGAGGGGGAGTCATTGTCTAATGGGTACAGAGTTTTTGTTGTAGATGATAAAAAGTTTTGGGTATAGATGGTGGTGATGGTTACACAACATTGTGAATGTATTTAATGCTACTGAGTTGTACACTTATGAATGGTTAAAATGATAAACATTCTGTTATAGATATATTTTACTACAATTTTTTTAAACCTGAAAAGCAAAAACAAAGAAAGAGACTGGGGTATTACATTTACCAAACGGGGGAGGAGGCAGAAGTTCAAGGATTAGAATCAAGGTGTATGTAATATGAGGAAGGAGAAAGAGATGCCAATATCTACATCACGTGCACTCAGCATCTTAATAACATCTTGCCTCCAGACCAGGTAGAATCACTTCTGGGAGCTCTGCATTTTTCTCTTAGGAAAATCAAATCGTGGATGATGGTGGATGTGATCTGGCTGGGGTGAGGGTGGGGGCTCTTAAAGACTTTTTTCCCCTCCTCTCTCAGGGAAGGAAGCAAAGCAGCTCGATATGGACACCTCCGGCAGCCCCTGCACTGCCTGGACAGGTCTCCCCACCTGAGTAGCTACTGTGCCAGGTCCTGTGATGGACCCTGGGCCTGAGACCACAGGGATTTGGGCAAGGTGGAGGGTGAATTTTGTCATGTGAGAAGGGGCCCCTCGCACCAAGCCCCAGCTCAGGCCACGGCTAAGGGGCTCCTAAGCTGTAAGGTTTAGGTGCAGAATTGCCTTTCAGAATCCCCTTCTGGCCCTTGGAACCTCAGCCCTGGGCACCACATTGGATCTAGCTTCCAGTGTGCTTGGAGAAAAGGCCCAAGTTCACATCCAAGCCCTCCCTTTTAGGAGTGAGGTCCTCAGGTCCCCTTGTGAAATTGGTGGAGTGCATCCTGGTCGTCCCTGGCTTGGGAATGAAGGATGTGGTAGAGAGGGATGGGAATGGTGCAGGGTGAGGTGCTGGGACAAGGTGGAGAGATGATTGCGTTGTCATTAGGGATGGAGAGAGATGAAGGCTATCCTTAATCAGACAGAGAAGTTTGACAGTTGGGATGATACTTAAAGGAGAGGGAAGGGGAAAAGAGGAGAGAGCATTGAGATTTAGGTGCTCCTGCAGTTATTCATTCAACAAATGTTTACTGAGCACGTACAATGTGGGCTAGGGGCTGGGGCAGCAGTAGGATGCTCAAGGAGCTTGGGGTCTAGTGCTGAAGACAGATCATCAAACAAGCAGTTAAACCAAACTGTGATGAGCATTATGATGGAGGAACTGGGCAGGGCCAGGGAAGAAAAATGAGTTCCTATTAATTAGAATTAGATTCTGGTGTATATAACAGACAACCAAAATAACTGTTGCTTAAATGAGATATATGTTTATTTCTTTCCTACATAAAAGAAATCCAAGGCTGGAATGTCAGCTCTACATGTCATCAGAGGCAGGGACCATTATCTTTTTGTTCCACCATGCTGGCATCTAGCTTCTATCTTCAGTGTTACTTCATAGTGCAAGATGGCTGCTGGAGCTTCAGCCATTGTTTCTGAGTTGAGGACTGTAAAAAGAGAGGGCAAAAAAGGGGTCCCTTCCTGTTGAATCAACTCTCGTTGAGAAGCCTTTCTTGAAGTCCCATGCAATTTATATTTCTTTGGGATACTTGGGACTTGACTGTACCCAACTTCAAGGGGAAATGGGCAGCAATGTGGCCAACTCAAACTCAGGCTTTGATAATAAGGAGGAAAGAAAGAATGCTGGGTTAATTAGCAGTCTCTGACACAGTGTTTTCATCTTTTGCATTTGATATTCATGAATATTGACAATTGAACAATTAGAAACGTGACGAATTCTAGTAGAACTACCAACGATTATTATTTTTAGCAATACAGAGTATGTTCTCTTAATGGAAGGCAGAATTCATAAGGAAGATATTTAAATATTTCATTTTAAGACGTTGATCTTAGGGAAAAAAGTGAACTCTTCTGCCAGCATGTACTCAAGCCACAGGACCCTTTCTCTGGCAGTCAGTGGCCAGGAATGAGCAGGCCACCAAGAGGATTCTCAATGCAAGGGCAAGTAGCCAAGACTAGCTGATAGAAATCAGGGTGTCAGGCCAAGTTTGGTCAAGCAGATCTTGCTAATTACAAAATGATCCTCAGTTGCAGCAAAGATGAAATTGATATATTGATGATAATGTTGCGGGCTCACGTCTGTGTTTGGGAGTTTTCCTGTGGCTTGTTTGTTTCAGCAGTTACTTCTTACGCCCATCTCAGGGCCTGGCACCTCATTCAGTGCTGATAAATATGGACTGAATGAACACTGTCCACGAACTTGCCTCTGAAAGACTCCCTCTTTTTATTTGCTTTTAATATATAATGACTGGGAATCCATAGCTTCAAGTTGCGACAGTATTTCAAAGGAGTCCAGGAGCTGAGTGAAAGCCTGAAGATTTGGCTGTGGTGCCGGAATTTGGAGTTGAGGCCTAGGTTTGCATTTCTGTCCTGCAGGCTTGCTCCAGGGCCCTCACCTCTAACGGAGGCATGTGGGGACCATAAATAAGAGCAATTCACTGTTTTCGATTCAGCTGTTTCGTAACCTCTTTCTTTTTTTAAGTAACTATTTATTTCATGGGTTTATAATTAGGACAGCAAATCAAAATTGAGAGACCCAAATAATGTTTTTAAAATGGAAATCAATTCCCAAAAAATGTTAATTGTGTGTTTTTATTCTACTTGAGGCCTTCAGTGAAAGCATAAATAATATACCTAAATCTTGGAAAAGCTGAACCCTGAAGGAAATGAAATTAAGCATATTCCAAAAGAGTTAAGGAAGAATTTAAGAGCTGCGTGGAGCCGCTGTCTGAAAGGCAACTAGCTACCATCACTGCTGAGTGACTCAAGCCAACAAGAATGGTTACCAAATAATGTGCCTTACTGGGACAAATAATGCCATTAAAAAAGCATTTCCATCTTAACTTCTCTTAAAATGTTTTTCTTTTACTAAAATTGAACTCAAGTCTATCATTCTCTCAGATCATTAAAATATTTAGAAGAATATAATTTATGAGGCATACCTACTATCATCCTTACATTTACATTTAATAAAAAATTCATTCTTGTTCAAATTGTTTTCACATCCATGATCTCATCTGTGTGTTTACTAACTCTAAACACAGTAGTTAGGATACATGTTGAATTCAGAGAGGTCAAGTGACTTGCTCAGGGCCACACAGCCCAATATAAGTGATTCCTGAGCTCGAATCCAGGTGATGCATTTATTTGAGAGATATTCAGTGTGCACCCACTCTTGGCAGGCACTGTACCGAGTGCCGAGGAAGCAAACACAGGGACAGTCGCTGCTCTCGGGGAGCTCTCGGGAATCAGACTGCTGGGCTGGGTCCTGCCTCTGCTACTCGCTGTTTCACCTTGGGCAAATTACTTAACTGCTTTGTGCCTCAGTTTCTCTATCTGTAAAGGGGAAACAAATAAAATACCTACCTCACAGAGTTGTGGTGAGAATTAGATAAATTAATTCTTGGGAAAAGCTTAGGACAGAATTGGACCTTGAGTAAGTCTTCAGTAAATGTTAGATATTATTAGTGAGAGAAACCGACACTGATTAAATAAGCATGCTTATGAGTGGATATTGATAAACTTGACATAAATAATTGGAAGGAAAGTAACAGTTCGATCAGAGTTTGGGCTTAGGGCTCATGGAAGGTTCTCCAAGAAAATGGCTCTGGGTGGAGCTCTGAAAGATAACCTTGTGTTAACTATGTGAGCATTCCAGACTGAGATTTGGGATTTTAATTCCTGGATCACATATTCATTTTTAATACACTGCAACTCTCAGCACACTTAACTTAGGACTAATTTGTTGGTCTGGAGCACCGGAAACCAATTTTTTTTGTAGTGAAAAGAACACAGCCCTGGAAGTGAAAAGACCAAGGTTCTAATTTTAGTTCTGCCATGAGCTTACTGTAGGGCTGGGGAAGCTCATTGATTCTGTTTCTGAAATAATTTAGAAGTTCAAAAGAACACATCCCTCCAGGCCCACTAGAATCTGGCCATGGTTTTTCCTTTCCTTACCCTTGCTGTTTTATCAGCATAAAATATTCAAGTCATTACTTCTACTTGTAAAAATCTTACTCATTCTCCAAGATCCTTCTCAAATGTCCAGAGTGGGAGAGGGTGGGACTGGTGATGATTTTATCTGCCAATCTTCCTATTTTTAGGGGAGCGCCCTTCCACTCCTCTCCCCAACGTTAGCTAGAAGAAGCCTTTTCTTTCTTTTTTGTATTGAGGTGAAATTCACACAACATAAAATTAACCATTTTAAAGTGACCCATTCAGTGGTACTACATCCACAATGTCGTGCACCCACCACGTTTATCTAATTCCAAAATGTTTTCATTGCTCCTCAAAACCCCTTACCCCTTAAGCAGTTGCTCCACATCCCCCCTCACCACTGGCATCCACCAGTCCGCTTTGCGTTTTTTTTTTTAAAGATTTTATTTTTTTCCTTTTTCTCCCCAAAGCCCCCCATACCTAGTTGTATATTCTTCGTTGCGGGTCCTTCTAGTTGTGGCATGTGGGATGCCGCCACAGCATGGCTTGATGAGCAGTGCCATGTCTGCACCCAGGATTCAAACCAACGAAACACTGGGCTGCCTGCAGCAGAGCGCGCGAACTTAACCACTCGGCCATGGGGCCAGCCCCTGCTTTGTGTTTTTATGGATTTATCTAAGGAAGACCTCTCACATCTCCCGTCATTCCCAACAAAAATATGACCTCATCCTCACCTAAGCCTCCATTCAGCTTCCCTGGTGAAATGTTAGTTACATACAATTTGAAAGAATCTTTCACTTCCGCTCTCCCCCTGACCAGAGTCCTCCCCGATCAGATGACCTTGACGAACAAAGTGCTCAGCTCAACCTGCATTCAAGTGCAGCGAATTGTGTGCAGTGGTTTTACCATCACATTTCTCAGCCATTCATGACAGCGCCACACATTTACCTACTGACTAAGGTTCCCGGAGTTCTGATGTTGGAAACTGTCCCTTTTAATTGACTCTTGTAAGATTGTTGTTTATGACCAGGAAATGGTCTTTGTTCACCTGCACCCAAACCGCAGCACATCGGCAACACATAGACCTGCAAGAGGTGGCAGTGCCCAGAAGTGGGTTAGGGGCCCCCAGGGGGCTCTCATCTTCTCTCAACTTCTTGTATTTTCTTTGCTTTGAGGAAAAGAAAAATATGATATTGAGTTGCTTTTTTTTCCTTATGTATTTCTTCTTGAAAGTTCTACTTAGCGATGCTTATTTGCTTAATCAATTAATGTTTTGAGAGTCTAGCCTGGGCCAGCCAGTGTTCTAGCCAATGCAGATTCAGTAGTGAATGAGACAGGCAAAATCTCCCCTCCAGTTAGGGAGACATAAACCAATATGTGATGAAATATCAGGAAGTGACACATGCCATACAGAAGATAAGGTAGGGTAATGGGGGAGGCAGCATGACAAGGGATGGGTCCTCTTTTAGATAGGCTGGCAGGGAAGGCCTGAAAGATGTGAGCGAACCGTGGGAACATCTTTGTCTTGAACGTTCAAATAATGGCCATAAATAAAGATTCATTATCATGATTATTGGTAAACTTAGAAAAAACTTTTTGTTATAGGAATTTCAAACCTATACAAAAAGTAGAGAGAGTGGTGTAATAAACCCCTATGTACCCATTACCCAGCTTCAGCATTATCAACTCGTGGTCAATTTTATTTCCTCTGTACCCGTCTCTCCCTGCACTCCCTGGATTATTTTGAAGCAAATTCCAGCATTATATCATTTTATCTGTAAATATTTCAGTATATATTTCTCAAAGACAATAACTTCCTTTTTTAAAACATAGCTCCACCCTCAAAAATAATGGTAATTCCTTAATATCATCAAATATCCAGAGAGTGTTCTATTTCCCCCAACAGTTTATGAACTTTTAAAATAAAGCAGAACATGGAGTAACTTCCATTAGTCCTAGAGTAATTCCTTTTAAGGCACGATAGTAAAAATATTAATTACATACTCAAAACTTTTTTTTGGTACAATTTGTTCTGCTAGACAGTATAGGCCTGAATGTTACTGCATTCATAATGGCTGATAAATAAGGGAATGATAGCACTGTATCCTATTGATTCATATGCAATTTTTTCCTAGAACTTTAAAATTTTTTACCGCCATGTAATAGCAGCTGAACGCAAAGTACATTTCACAGCTGAATGCTGCCAACAAATGAGAACTAGAGTATTATGACATGATGCCTATTCACCCCGACATATTTTCATCTTGGCTCAATTTGGCCATCAGCTTCCCCAGATGTCTGTGCATTTCGTTTTCCCCGTAACTCAGCCGCCTCAGCCCTCCTTCCGCCCCACCTTCTGTCAAGCTACCTTTACTTTTTTTTCCTTAAGACAAAGTACCGTGTTTACTATAATGTTTTTTGTTAGAATTTAATATCTTCTTAACTTTATCAGGATTGTTGCTCTTTTGTTGTTGTTAGTGCACTGGTTACAAAGTTGCATAGATTTTTTTAGCAGTCTGTCCCAATCCTATTTTCCACTGTAGCAAAGAGGTCATTAATTATTATGGAACCCACTTATTGGGTGAAAATATCAAATTGCAAAAAATCAAACGAATATTCCTAAAAGGAATTTACAAATAGTACTGATTTGCACTGTTATCCATAATTTGGGAGAGAACTCAGTAATGAATCCTGTTTTTATCCTCTACCTCAGAATCCCAGCAAATCAGAAAGGTTTTAGGAAAGTGGGAACTTGAAATCGTTACTCACAAAGTAATGGCTTATAAAAGCATTAAATGAACAAATATGTTCAGAGACATAGATATTTCTTTTTTTACCCTAGGTTACAATGAGAGTCTGAAATATGCTAGTCAATAAAATGATAAACATATCACAATGAACAAACTGTTCCCTAATTCAATATATCATACTAGCTGCTTACCTTTATTTGAAATGCCAATACCTTGAATTTTCCAGATGGTTAAAAAATCAGGTAGCATCAACTCCAGCTGATGCCTAGAAAATAAAATATTTCATAGCTGTCACACACAAGTGAGCCTTAATTAACTTGGAACCAACTTAACATGATCTCCTAGTAATCAGCATATAGGCTGATCCCATATGGGCTCTTGAGGCAAAATCATAAGAAAACAAATGTTAATCAGTGGCCAAAGGTGGGGATGAGGTTAAGAAAAGAGCAGAGGATAACAAGGACCTCTTACGTATTCAGAACAATTGCCTATACATGTTATGTTGAACCAAATGAAATTGTTATTTGTGTAGATCAAGAATGTAGAGTATACAAAAACAGTTGAAATAAAAGCAGTTTTCACCATACCAAAGTCCACTAGTTAATTTTTCTTTTCAGTGGACATTTCCCAAGTGTCTATCATGTGCATGGCACAGTCCTAAGACTAAGGACGAGGATAAATAACAAAGGGTCTGCCTTCAAGGAATTGACTCCAGAAGAGGAGAGAAATACATAAACAAGTAATTTATCATGGGAGGTAATAAGTGCTTCAATAGAATCCATGTACAAACTACAGTCATCTGTCGCTGAACGGCGGTAATGCATTCTGAGAAATGCGTTGTTAGGTGATTTCCTTGTTTTGCAAACATCACGGAGTGTACTCACACAAACCTAGATGGCAAAGCCTGCCACATACGTGAGCTATATGGTACTAATGTTATGGGACCACTGTAATACATGCCGTCCATCATGCACTGAAAGGCTGTTATGCGGGGCATGACTGTACAGCGCAAATGCAGAGAAGTAAGTACTTAATTCTTGGAGGGCCACTTTTGGAGAACCCAGTGTCTGAGTTGGGAGTTTGTTATGGGGGTGGTTAAGAAAGAGGATTTCTAGGGAAAGGTATGAAGACTGCAAAGAGCAGGTATTGTTGAGACAGAAAGGGCACAACAGGGGAGGGTGGCAAGGGCTGCTGGGAGATGAGCTGGAGCTGTTGGCAAGAGACCTGGATGAAAGCGTCTTAATCCGCATAGATTTTGCTGGGTAGGTTGTGGAGAAGTGGTTTTAGGTGGGGAAGTGACATGATTGGACGTGGATTTTAATATAATCATGGGAGCGGCTGTGTTTGGAGAATAAACTGGAGCAGAGAATTGAACAAGGCTGGAGTCAGGGAGATAAAAGGAGGATGTTGGGGTAAGTCGTGTTCACTGAACAAAAATCAATCACTTCCCAAGCCTTACAGATAATCAGTGTTTTACAGTGTGTGTTTATTATATGAGAAAAATATTGCCTCCTTTTGTTATTTAGATAAACAGCGTTGGAAATACATGCCTCAATGGATGGTACACATTGTTGGACAGTTTGTTACAAAGCAGTTGTCTACAAAGACTGAAATAATTATATAGAATTACAAACCCAGCTATCACCCCAACTACATGCTCAGTAAAAGTTCAAGTTAAGTGAAGCGGCATTCTTCTACCAAGATCATTAGTTCTACAATTAATCCTGCTACTGAGGGAAAAATCCACCCAACAACCAGCCAAATTAACCTTGATTACACGTCAGTGCTATCGCTAATTATCAAAGAAACCCTTGGAAGAGTGACAGACCATTTATTTATCATATTTGAATATTTTACAAATTTCCTAAAGAAAAGAAAGCTAAAGTCTTAGAATACCTTTCAGGAACATGATATACTTTCCACAACCAGTTTTCTAAAAAAATGCTGCATACATTGCTGCTCATTGTGTACACGTTTGATACCTCTAAATTAGAAATACAAAAACACAGGGTAAACATAACACATAATAAAGTTACATGTTAAAGCATGATGTTAACTTCTTTTTTTTGATGAGGAAGATCGGCCCTGAGCTAACATCTGTTGCCAATCTTCCTCTTTTTGCTTGAGGATGATTGTCACCACGCTAACAACTATGCCAGTCTTCCTCTGTTTTGTATGTGGGATGCCGCCACAGCAGGGCCTGATGAGCAGGGTGTAGGCCCACACCCAGAACCCGGACCAACAAACCCCAGGCTGCTGAAGCGGAGCGCACGAACTTAACCACTATGCCACAGGGCTGGCCCCAGCATGATTTTAACTTTTAACCAAAAATTTTAACGAATTTGGTCAAATATTTAATTTTTGTGATATCAAAATAGAAAAACAAAATCCTTGATTTAAAGTGTCTAAAATATATTAAGTATAAAAACCAAGGTGCAGATTGGTAATATCCCACAGGTACAAACAAAATACATATAAATAGAGATAGAGATGTAGATATAAATGTTTCTATAGGCAGAGAAAATTGCTAGAAGGGTATAAAAATTGTAAACAATGGCAATATCTTAGAAAGCAGGCGGGGAGTGGGGTCAAGGATTTTTACCTTATACTTCACACTCTCCTATACAGTATTAGTTTAATAATGAAAAGTAGTGTAAATTTTTAACAAAAAGGTAAAGAAGGATGTACCAAAGCAAATCAAAAAGGCAAGAAAGGATACAAAGCAACAAGAAACCACATTCAATAGAAAACATAACAGAACGGGAATAAGTACAAACTGAACAAACTTGAATGGGCTTAAAATATCTCATTAAAAGTTAGATGTTCTCAAAACAGGTAAAGAACAAAAAAACTCATCTAGAAATGGATTTAAAAGGTATACACTGGGGCCAGCCTAGTGGTGCAGTGGTTAAGTTTGCACGTTCCTGTTTGGCAGCCCAGAGTTCACCAGTTCGGATCCCAGGGGTGGACCTACTTGTCACTTAGCAAGCCATGCTGTGGCAGGCGTCCCACATACAAAGTGGAGGAGGATGGGCATGGATGTTGGCTCAGGGCCAATCTTCCTCAGCAAAAAGAGGAAGGTTGGTGGCAGATGTTAGCTCAGGGCTAGTCTTCCTCAAAAAAGAAAAAAAAAAGGTATACACTACCACCAAACAATATAGGAAAGTTGAAAATACAGGAATAGAAAATCATATACTAACCAAATACTGACAAAAAGTAAGCTAGTAGTTAAATAATGACTTCTGATAAAATAGAACTCAAAACACTTAAATGAAGTAAAGAGGAATATTTTATGTGCATAAAATTACAACCTACTAAAGAGAAGAGAGAGTCATAAACATTATGCACTTAGAACATAGCTTTGCAATATATACAGCAAAAAACTCTAAGAAATATAAGGAGACATCTTAATCAACAATTTAATATTGAAAATAAACGTAATAAACTTTAAAAAGTTAGAAAAAGAAGAACAAAAAACCAAAAAAAGTAGAAGGAAGAGATTGATGGACTATTAGGGAAAACACAATAAAATAGAAAACAATTATAGGGGGCTGGCCCCATGGCCGAGTGGTTAAGTTCGCGCACTCTGCTGCAGGCGGCCCAGTGTTTCGTCAGTTCGAGTGCTGGGTGCGGACATGGCACTGCTCATCAAACCACACTGAGGCGGTGTCCCACATGCCACAACTAGAAGGACCCACAACTAAGAATATACAACTATGTACCCGGGGGCTTTGGGGAGAAAAAGGAAAAAATAAATAAAATCTTTAAAAAAAAGGAAAACAATTATAGACGTGATCAACAAAACTAAAAGCTGTTTCTTTGAAAACACGATACAACAAACTCTGGCAAGTCTGATGGAGAAGAAAAGAGGATACAAATTAACAACAATACATATAGGGAAATATTTTTGTAACCTTGGGGTGAGGAAAGCTTTTCAAATCAAGACACCAACCCAGCAGGTCTAGGCAGATTTGGCCACCTAAATATTAAATACTCCTAATGCCATAAACAAAGGTTAAAAGACCAATGGATTGCGAGAAAACGCTTGCAACATACTGATCATATTTTACATGTGTGTGCGTGTGTTACATATTTGCAACTTATATAACCGACAAGGATTGGTTTCCATGGTGTACAACAATGCCTATACAATGATAAGCAAAAGATACACAAGCCAAAGCCAAAATTGACAAAGGTATAAAAGGTTAATTCATGGGAGGAATATCACTGAACAACAACATATGTAGACACATGTAATGATTGTCAAATTACATGGAATCAAGTTGCTAAATAAAATGAGATATCACTTTTGATTTATCAGATTGGCAAAAAATATAGATGAATAATATCCCATTTTGGCAAGGGGGTTAAGGAGTAGGCCTTAAATACAATTAGTTGGAGTGGAAATTGGTACCATCTTTTCAGAGGGCAATTTTCAAGTATACATCAAATTTGTAGATGTGCCTACACTTTGATTCAGCAATCCTATCTATGACAATACCATCTATCTTATAGGAAAAAAATACATATATGCACAAAGAGAGATGCAAAATGATATTTTCCTTTGCAAGACTGTTTCTAATAGTTGAAAATCTGTGGAGAACTTAAATACCCATTGTAGGTAGTTGAACAATGGCCCCCAAAAGATATGTCCAAATCTTAGCTCCTGGTACCTGTGAATGTGACCTTATTTGGGAATAAGGTCTTTGCAGACATAATTAAGTTATGGATTGAGAAATGTGATCATCCTAGCTTAGGGTGAGCCCTAAATCTTTATAAGGTGTCCTTATTACATATAAGGTCTAAGGTGTCCTTATAAGAGAAAGAGAAGGAGAAGACACAGAAACACAAGTGAGACAGCCATGTGAAGACACAGGAAGAGACTGGACTGATGCATCTATAAGATAAGGAATATCAGGAGCCAACAGAAGTTCAAAGAGACAAGGAAGTATTCTTCCCTAAGGCCTTTGGAGGGAGAGTGGTCCTGCTGACACCTTGATTCTGGACTTCTGACCTCCAGAACTGTGAGAGAATGAATTTCTGTTGTTTTAAGACACCGAGTTTGTGGCAATTTGTTATGGCAGCCACAGGAAATTAATACACCCATTAGTGTATGAATGGTTAAATAAATTAAGGCATATCAATATCATCAAATACTGGATAATCATTAAAAAGAATGAGACAGCTTTCTCTGTACTGACATGGAAATAAGTTTGTGATATTCTGCTAACATTAAAAAAAGGCACATTGCAGGGGCCCGTGGTGTAGTAGTTGGGTTTGGTGAGCTCTGCTTTGGCAGCCTGGGTTCACAGGTTCGGAACCTGGGGCATGGACCTACATCACTTGTCAAGCCATGCTGTGGCAGTGACCCACATACAAAAGAGGGGAAGATTGGCACAGATGTTATCTCAGAGAAAATCTTCCTCACGAAAAAAAGAAAAAGTACATTACAGAAGTATATGGATCCCATTTATGTAGCATGATCTCATTTATGTAGAAATCTGTTCACAGTAGTTAACCCTCTGGGGCAGGGGGAGTGTAAGAGAACTGACAGAGAATTTTTTAATGTTTATTCTTAAATTTTTTATTTCTTTTCCTCTAAATTTTATTGTTTGGCTTTTTTTTTAAGCCTATAGACTATATTACATATATATATATATATATATATATATATATATATTTTTTTTTTTTTTTTTTTTAGGAGGATTAGCCCTGAGCTAACATCTGCTGCCAATCCTCCTCTTTTCATTGAGGAAGATTGGCCCTGAGCTAACATCCACGCCCATATTCCTCCACTTTATATGTGGGATGCCTGCCACAGCATGGCTTGACAAGCAGTGAGTAGGTCCACACCCAGGATCCAAACTGGGGAACCCTGGGCCGCTGAAGCAGAATGTGCGAACTTTTAACCACTGCGCCTTTAAATAAAAAGTTATTTAACAAGCAGAATGTTTGCAACTACGGAGGTGATGGACGTTAAACTTATTATAGTAACCATTTCACAATATATAAATAAGTCAAATATATTGTACACCTTAAACTTGTACAATGTTATAAGTCAATTATATATCAATAATACTGGAAAAATTTTAAAAATAAAAGATTTTAAAAATAAGTTTTAAAAAGTCATTGACTTTAAGGGGCTGGCCCCGTGGCCGAGTGGTTAAGTTCGCACGCTCCGCTGCAGGCGTCCCAGTGTTTCGTTGGTTCGAATCCTGGGCGCGGACATGGCACTGCTCATCAGACCACGCTGAGGCAGCGTCCCACATACCACAACTAGAAGAACCCACAACGAGAAATATACAACTATGTACTGGGGGGCTTTGGGGAGAAAAAGGAAAAAATAAAATCTTTAAAAAAAAAAAAAAAAGTCATTGACTTTTTAAAGTACAATGTTAAATTAAAATTGCAATATTTTTCTTAGTTGTTCTCTGCCCTGACTTGTGTGATCTCCACAATCATACAGTTAACTAGAATTCAAATGAAACCAAAGAAAATAGGTTGAAAAGTAGGTCATTAAACAAAATTTTAATAAATTGCATTCATCACTATTGTCCACACAAACCATATGAAACTGAACTAAAGGAAATTCTTTTCTATATATGATTATTGGAATTCCTTCTACTTCTAATATTTCTTGTTGGCTATGCTTTGTGGCAGAATCAAGAATAATATTTTGGTTCTTCAAACTATACTATTTTCTTTCCCCAGATTCTAAGTATCACTCAGGGCCAGTGACACATGCACAGAATGCATATCACAGATTCATTTAGTCAAGTATTTTCATTTTACAAATTAGCTCTTAGAGGATAAATAATGACCATAGCTGCTACACAGTGAATTGGTGGTAAAGCTGGGACTAGTGGTGTCCAAGTTAATATTACTGCCACTGCCTGCTCTGCTTTTTCGAGTTAACTGCAAGAGTTTATACTTCATTTTTTTCTACATTAAACCTATTTTGGAAGTACTTCTTCCCACGGCAGCACGAACTCTGCCTGGCACCCTCCTACTGCACTGCCTAAGGAGTAGGAGTTTTTACATGTACCTTGCCTTCCCACGATTACAGAGATGTGAAAAGTCTCATTCCACAGGTGATTTGCCAGGTTACAACACTGAGAGAAAGCTCTGGAACAAATCGGGCCAATGGTAATCCGTGCAGCTCTTTCCTCCTTTTGATAGGCTCCATAGTAACAGCACTTCCGCATCCGGGGATGTTTGAAATTGGAGGCTGAGATGATGATACCACCATTCTTAGCCAGGGACAGATTCCACATCTTGAGGCTGGACTAAGAGGCCGTGGTCCAACTTCTTCCCGGGTGCCCCCTGCCCACACCCCATCTAGTACCACTGGTCGACCAGCCCCTGCCGCAACAGCTCCAGAATGAGAAATTGTTTCCTCCCTAGGCAGCCTGTTCCACTTCAGAGAGCTCTAATCGCTGGAAAATTCTTCCTGACATCTTCTAAACCAAAATCTAACTCCTATTACCAGCCCCCTTGTTGGTATTCCTCTTGTGCAGAAAAACTCACGTAATCACAAGTTCCTTGAATATTTGAAGATAATCATCATGACCGCCTAAGTCTTAGCCTTTCTCTGGTAAACATCCCTGGGATTTTTTTATTCAGATCATGTGTTCATGGGATATGATTGGTTTCAAAACCCTCATATAGTCACTCCCCACTGGACACTCACTTGGCTGAGACAGTCAGGCTGCAGTCAGTATAAAGCCTGCATGGGTGTACAGAAGATCAAGAGTGTTCACTTAGGTTGTCCTCTTGTTTTCTCAAAAACCGCTGAATGGGACTTTAGAATTGATCATGTCCTTCTCTGTCACGTAGAGATGAGGAAAGGGTGATGCAAAGAGGGGAAGAGACTTGTCCATGTGGCCACAGCTGTTAAGGGGCAGAGCCAGGGCTGGAGCCAAGAGGCAGTATTATGAGGTGAAAGGCCTCTGGACCACAGAATGGAAGCTCTGATACTTGTGGCAGCCCCATCTCACCCAGTCATTTGGACTTGCAGAAACTCACTTTGCCATCAATAAATGATTGTAATTTCTGTCTAGCCTAGGTCAGAACATGGCTTTGGTAAGGGGGCTTTAAAAAGAATAGAGCATTGCGAGTTACTGTTTATTGAGTTCCTCCTGAGCTAAGTGCTTTTCCTGCATTATCTCATTTAATTCTACTAACTCTGCAAGGCAGAAATTGTCTCCATTTTGCAGAAGAAGAAACTGAGGCTCCAGGAGATTAAGTAACTTAGCTAAGGTCACATAGCTATAAATAGTAAGCCAAGAGTCAAGCCCACTCTCTGATTCTAAAAACATTGTTCTTTATGTGATGTCTTCTAAAGATGCTATTTTGACAAGTACCTACTGTAATGGGAAAACTTTATTGATGTCATCATCATTAGTATTAAAGCATGGTATCTGTAACTCCTCCAGTAATTAATGTTATTGACAGTGTACCTGAAATCTAAGTGGTATATAAAAACTGGTTCTTTCAGACCCACCTTCCCAAATAATCTGGACAAGTCCTGAATATCAATGCACCAAAGAAAAGGAGTAGCGCTCAGTAGAACATAGTGGTCACCAGTGCAGTGGGCTCTGCTATCAGTCTGACTTGGGTTTGAATTCTCCCTGTGCCTTTCACTGCTCCATGACATTGGGCGTGTTAATTATGATTAATTTCTCTGTGTCTTGATGTCTTCATCTGGAAAATGGGGGTAATAAGAGTACCTACCGCATGTGATTGGCATGAATGTTCAATGAGAAAATCTGATTATGAGGCTTCCACAAAGCCTGGCACATAGTAAGTGCTTAATTAGGGTTAGCTATGATTATTTCATCCTAAAGTTCATCAGACCTAGCTTTTGTGAGAATTTAATGGAAGTCATACATTTAACTGCTATACCAGCTACCCTGACAGAGAGTAAAATCTGAGACAATTAAAAACTGACTCTATTATAACTACAGAGAATGAACATGATGGTGACCTGTTTCCTTTAGGTTAAGACTGTGATAAATAAATGGAGGTTAATTTACCCAGTTTGCCTTCCCCCTATGGAAAATAGAAGCTGGAAGTGCCCACCGATCTTTTTCACCTGCTCTACATCAACCAGCTAGAATGACAAAATGTAGCAGACCCTGGGCGATTCCATCATAACTTCTGAAAACAACAGGAGACATTGGAGCACCTGGATTTTCTATTTCCTCTTTCAAGTCTCTTCTGGACCTGAGAATTTTCTTAAATGATCCATCTGTTAAAAAAAGAAAAACAGAGAATATCCCTTAGAATAAATGCTTCCATCAAATTATCTGAATGATCAATTCACAGAATTGGACTGGGCACATTTTATCAGAGATCATGTTCTATTTCCTACAGCAATTCTGATCTCTATATGCCCTTAGTACAGGGATGTATGCGAGTAGAGTGAGCATGTTTCTTGGTAGTGGTATCATTATTTGCTCTTTGAAGAGTATTACCTCAAGAAGCTCAAATAGGATAAGAGAAAAAGCAACGAATACATACATTTTAAAGGTGGTTTCTTCACCTCTTTAAAATATATTTAGTGAGTGCCTCCTCTCTTCCATTAGAGAACAGAAAGATCAGTAAAATCCAGTCCCCAGGATCAAGGGATATCTCAAAAATCTAAAGACGTGGAATAGGAGTTCATTCTATTGATATTATAATGCCATACTGAGTACAAGGGAACAGTTAGGGGCTGAATTGTATCCCTAAACAAATTTGCATATTGAAGTCCTAACCACCCCCCACCCCACCCCATACCTCAGAATGTGACCGTATTTGGAGATAGTGTTTTTAAAGACGCAACTGAAGTTAAAGTAGGTCATTGGATGGGTCCTAATCCAATACGACTGGTGTCCTTATAAGAAGAGATTAGAACACAGACGCAAACAGAGGAAAGACCCTATGTAGACACAGGGAAAAAGTGGCCATAAAAAGCCAGGGAGAGAAGCCTTAGAAAACACCAACCCCACTGACACCTTAATGTTGGACTTCCAGCCTCCCAAACTGAGGAAATAAATGTTTGTTGCTTAGGCCACCCACTCTGTTATGGCAGCCCTAATACAAGAGGAGAGCACTAATACAAGAGGAGAGGTCAGTTCTCCAAGGCCAGCTTGGGAGTAGGGGTTAGTGGAGAAGGTGAAGCTTGAGCTTTTATAGCAAATTGGAGGAGGAAGGCACTCCAGGCAGAGGTGTGATAGAACAAGGGTCCCTCTCAGGTGCCCCAAGGAGACAAGTGAGGTTTGAGCACAGGGCCTTTGAAGAAGGAAGGAAGGAACACAAGAAAGGAGATGATCTTGGAGCAGTTTAATCTCACCTAAGATAGATTCTATCCTGTAGAGGTAATTGGAAGCTGACAAAGGGTTTTACACAGAGTGCTGACAAGCTTATCAGAATTGTGCTGTAGGAGTGAAGGAATGGAAAAAGATATTCCGTGCAAATGGTAATCAAAAGAGAGCAGGGGTGGCTATATTTGTATCAGACAAAATAGACTTTAAGTCAAAATTGTCACAAGAGACAAAGAAAGACATTATACAATGAAAAAAGGGTCAATCCAACAGGAACATATAACAATTATATATGCACCTAACATCAGAGCATCTAAATATATAAAGCAAATATTGACAGAACTGAAGGGAGAAAAGACAGCAATACAATAATAGTAGGAGACTTCAACAGCACACTTTCAGTAATGGATAGAACATCCGGCAGAAAATCAATAAGGAAACAGAGGAGTTGAACAACACTCTAACCTAAATGGACCTATCAGACATATACAGAAATTCTACCCAACAACAGCAGAATACAAATTCTTCTCAAAAGTACACAGATTTTTTTCTCCAGGATAGATTACATGTTAGGTCACAAAATAAGTCTTAACAAATTTAAGAAGATTAAAATCATACCAATTATCTTTTCTGACCACAGTGGAATGGAACTAGAAATCAACAGCAAAAGGAAAATTGGAAAATTCACAAATATGTGGAAATTAAAGAACACACTCTTGAAGAACAATTGGGTCAGAGAAGAAATAGAAAAGGAAATTAGAAAATACCTCAAGATAAATGAAAATACAACATACCAAAACTTTTGGGATGCAGTAAAAGCAATGCTAAGAGAGAGGTTCATAGCAATAAATACCTAATTTCAAAAAGAAGAAAGATCTTAAATAAACAACCTAACTTTACACCTTAAGGGACTGGAAAAAGAAGACCAAACTAAGTCCAAAGTTAGCTGAAGGAAGGAAATAACAAAGATTAAAGCAGAAATAAATGAAATAGAACAAATCAGTAAAACTAAGTGTTGGTTTTTTGAAAAGATAAGCAAAATTGACAAACCTTTAGTTAGACTAACTAGGAATAAAAGAAGATTCAAATAAATAAGATCAGAAATGAAATAGGAGACATTACAACTGATGCCACAAAAATAAAAGGGATCATAAGAGACTACTATGAACAATCATATGCCAACAAATTGGATAACCTAGAAGAAATCAAAAGGATAAATTCCTAGAAACATACAACCTACCAAGATTAAATCATAAAAATATAGAGTCTGAACAGACCTATAACTAGTATGCAGTTTGAGTCAGTAGTAAAACACCTGTCATCAAAGAAAAACCCAGGACCAGATGGCTTCACTGGTGAATTCTACCAAACATTTAAAGAAAAATTAATGCCAATCCTTCTCAAACTCTTCCAAAGAATTGAATAGGAGGGACACTTTCAAACTCATTCCAGGAGGCCAGCATTACCTTGATACCAAAGCCAGATAAAGACACCACAAGAAAAGAAAACTACAGGCCAATATCCCTGATGAATATAGATGCAAAAATCCTCAACAAAATATTAGTAAATAAAATCTAATAGCATGTTAAAAGGAGCATACACCAAGACCAATGGAATTTATTCCTGGATGTAAGCATGGTTCAACATATGAAAATCAATTAATGTGATGTACCATTTATATATGGTGGAATACTATTCAGCCTTAAAAGAGAAGGAACTTCTGCAATATGCAGTAACATGGATAAACCTTGAGGAGATTATGCTAAGTGAAATAAGCCAGTCACAGAAAGACAAACAGCGTGATTCCATTTATATGAGGTATCTAAAATAGCCAAATTAATAGAATCAAAGAGTGGAATGGTGGTTGCCAGGTGCTGTGGGAAGGGAAACTAGGCAGTTACTAATAAACAGGCATAAAGTTTCATTAAGCAAGATGTGTAAGCTATAGAGATCCGCAGCACAACATTGTACCTATAGTCAACAATAATGTATCGTACACTTAAAGTTTTGTTAATAGGGTAGATCTCATGTTAAGTATTCTTACCACAACAAAATAAAGATTAAGAAAGTTTTAATTAAAAAAATTATGCTGTGGGAACAGTGAGGATTTGGAGAGAGAATGAGTGTGGGTCCAGGAAAAGCTGTGTATTTCCATAACAAAAATATTAACGTTAGTTGGTTGAAAACAATTACCATCTTGCTGGGAGTCATCTGCATTTGCATTGGTGAGGACAGGGAGTCCCGCTAAGTAGAACACTTCAGCACTACTCCTGCCACCACCTGTTCCACAGTCCTGGTCACTTTTACCGAAAGATCGAAGTACCTGTTCAGAAAGGAAATCATTCCCCCAGAAAACAATATTCAGTGGCTGTTATGAGGAATACCTGACTTGTGGATAGTGTTAGTTGCAAGTCACTCACTTTTAAATGTTAAAATCTAATTCTCCAGTTTTCCAAACCTTTCTTTCTTTCCCTAGTTTTCACCTCATGAGTTTTACAAACACATGCTATTCAAAATTCACTCAAGAGCCAAGACTTCAGCACATAACTTTGATATGGAAGTTCCTAGAAAACAACCTACACTCTCCCTTTTTGAGGCTTTGCATATTGAATTAACTAATAAAATATCCTTTGAATGAACGAATGAATGAATGAACAAGTAAATGAAATACTCACTACCCCTCATGGTCCTTTTCCAGCTCTAGGTTGTAAGTTCTGAGAGGGGTGAGACCCTGCATTTTACTGCTCCACCCAAGATAGAGAAGAGCACAGAAATGGGTAAGGATGCTCAGGGAATTATTTTTGGTGCGGAGGGTTGACTCCTCCTCAAAGCTTGTGACCATGACCCATGTGACCCATGAAAGTGTATGGGCTATTGCGGGTGGGAGGGAGGGACTTGGCTGGGGAAGGGACAGGCAAGGGGAGACAGCTATTCATGACTGCAGTTTCGTATGTAGCCATATAGTCTCCCACACCATGCCCCTGTTTTCTGCTCCCCTCTCCATCACCTCTCCAACGGATTTAATACACTCAGTGCACTAGAACCCCAGCATTTTCAGTCATATCTCTTCCCTGGAGTGAGCAAGAAATTTAATTTTATGCATTAGCTTAAAAGGTGCCCTCTCTCAGAGTCAATAAGGTTATTGCTTATTCCGACAAACAGCTTAGTAAACAAGATGATGTCATCAGTCACTGAAAGGAAGATAGTTTGGAATTGGTTGCATTTGAAGGTTTGTTTCTGAATGTGGATTTAACTACATTTTAGTTTATTCCCAGAGAAAATTGCCTTTTAGCATTTCACTGAGGATATTCCCAAATAAGTGTGTTCATGTAATATAAAATAAATTGGAGGGTAAACTAACTGGATAACTATCCTTTATATATCTAAAAGGATAACTAAAAGAAGTAACTCAGACCAAACAAGTCACTTGCTTCTACTCTGTGCTGAGATTCCACCCAGGCCCTAAGTCACCTAATATCTCTGTGTCTCAGTTTTCCTCGTGGATAACATGGGAACTCCACTAGATAAAGATTTTAAATATCTTTATCATTGATATGCATCTCAGAGGATGGTTGTGAATATTCAATAAGATAATGATTTAAAGTTCTTACAAGAATATTCCGCACACAGTAAGTGTTCAATAAATGTTAGCTGTTGATATTATTATCCTTAAATCTAGCTGAGAAGTCAGACATTAGTATAATTGCATCCTTTTCCTTTATTCTGCTCCCATGACTAACCCCCAGAACCCTTAGAGAATCCTGGTGGCCACTTGGCCCCAAGCCACGCCAAGCATCAGTAACCACAGCATTTACCATACTTAACTCTTTCCAAGGGATTTTTGCTTCTTTCTTGGGTGCCATATATAGCACCGTTCAATGATGATAATGCTACCTACGATTCTGACTGAGTTTCCACAGTAAGAGATATAGCTTCGCCTGGAGAATATATGTCTTTATTTGGAGACAAATGGATCTAAAATTAGTTGAAAAAGAAAGTATGTTAAAGTGAGATTACACAGTCACTCAGGAGGAACTCGGGCTGGGGAGAGTATTCGGCTCCCCTGGAGCTGGTTGCCACACTTTTCTCCAATATTTAGATGGACTGAGTCAGACACTAATTCTGCAGTCTGCTCTCCTGTCATGGTGTAATAGACTAGGAGACGGGCTGTAGGAACCATGTGCTGAGTCACGGAAAGGTTTAAAAGTTGGTAGGATGAACCTGGGAGCTTCTTCTCTGTGCCAAAGTGTACAGTTTTGCCCTTAGATGAAATCTAAAAATACACAGTAACAAATACTCATCAGAGTGGACTTAAAGTTGGGCTAGTAGTTAGGCAGGTGACAAAGAGGAAGAGAATTAACATCCATTGAGCATCTACTACGCATTAGGCACATAAACATGAACATATTCAATCCTCCCAATTGCATATTGTGGTTTTATTCATTTAGTAGTTATAGAAATTGAAGCTCATAAGCTGTCTCATTAGCTTAAAAGGTGCCTCTCTCAGAATCAATGAGGTTATTGCTTATTCCAACAAATGACCTAGTAAACAAGATGATGTTATCGGTCACTGAAACAAAGATAGCTTGGAATTGTTTACATTCAAAGGTTTGTTTCTGAACATGGATTTATCTAGGAAGTGAACTCTGACCTTGCTGACTCAAAGCCCATGACTTTTCAAATATAATATGCTGCTGATCTTGCTAGTTCGTATTTTAAACAGCAATGAACAACGCCTGGGAATCACTACATCCATTCTTGAGCTCAGGACTTAAATTCTTCCCTTCATAAACAGGGAATGTTCTTAAGGAATGCCAGCAAGGCCTGGCAGTCCGATGCTTGGTAATGAAACGTTGACCAAATGATTGGCGGTGAAACGTTGCTGAGGTCACTGACTAGTCTGGGGACTGAAGGAAGGCTCTGATCAAACCCTTGGCATCATGCCATAGAAGGAATATCAGTCTAGGAGTCAGAAGATTGTGAACAAAATCCTAAATCTACCACCAACTACTTGTGAACACGGCAGGTCACGCAACCTCTCCAATCTGTTCCATTGTCCCCCAGCTCTAAGAAGTGTTGTGAGGCTCTGCTATGGGGATGTTTGTGAATGTGCTTTATAGACTATAAAATGCTATGTGAGTTCACCTATTCATTCACTAAATATCAACTGAGTACTGTTTTGTGTCAGATAAGAATCGTTTAAAAGATTATTTGCATAAGAAAATGCTGCAGGTAGGGGACTAGATGCAAGTAAGATAGTATTGAATTTACCAAGTAATTGTAGTGTGTAATCGCGTCAACAGATGGACTTTTAAGGGTAACAGTTACGCTCAGATGTTCTCCCATAAGCAAACTCTTGTAACTGTCTGTCCAGCTAAGGGAAAGGAGACTTTGGCTACGTGATTTTGTAGGCCACTGCTTGATAGTCGTTGCTGGCCTGATATTCTTGTGGATTCTTCTGAATTCTTCTGGGTCATCAGTTTTGACCTAAAGAAGATAGTGTCAATAAATGTAAAACACTAATCCTAAACTTTGTATCAATGATGACAAAGATGGTAATGGTGGTGTTGGTGTTGGTAACCATTAATACTTTCCCAGCATTCACTTAGTGCCAGTTCTGGTTCTAAGTGTTTGACATGTATGAATGTATCCACATACCTTATAAATCTTCAGGCTTCACAGCATCTTATGAAAAGCAGATTGGCATTCCACTGCCTTAACAGTAAGGTAAGCTATGTTATCAAGTGATTACAGAAAGGCCATTGATTAAAAAAATAATAAAATTAACTATGAAAATCTAGGCTACAGTGGAAGAGTTCAGTGAAGTCAAAGAAGAGAAAGGATCTTAGATCTAGGGTTGGCCTTCTTTCTTAAATGACATACCAACTTATTGACTCATTTCCTTCTGCCACAGGCTAGCAGAAACTAGGAATTTGGGGAAAGGGAAAATGTGGGTAGAGATGTGGCAATAATTCTTAAAAGCTAACACAGACATCAGTTGTGAATGGATATGGTGGTGAATAATTTTACCACTTCTCAGGAGAGAGATGGGGAGAAGGATTTAGGAAAGTAAACAAGATCTGTTCTTGAGGGTAAAGTGCAGGGTCACAGTGAACTCATAAATATACGTGCCATGCTGTACTAGTTCTTGAACAAGAGGCTGGAAACATCTATGTTTTCCTTGAAGCTGAAGAATTAGGTTATTTGCTGGTGAATGTAACTTGATAACAAGAACAGAGGAAAAATGGTTCATGCTATTAGAGAAAAAGGAGACAATGATATTTGGCTCTTGTTTAGGTTTGGAAAGAAATGTATGCATTCAGCCAATCAATATTTACTGGTCCCTAATATGTGTCAGGAACTATGCTAGTTGCTGGGGACAAACGTAAATAAGATGGACACAGCTCTCGCCCTCAGGAAGCCTGAAATCCATGAGACTTTCATGGGGTAAGGAAAACATACTCATATTAACAGAGGGTAGTTAGAGAAGGACATGAGTGGAGGACATGATTGAAAAGTTGACCCCCAAATAAGCAGGAGTTAGGGAATCAAAGAACTGAGGAAGGAGAGTTTGAGGTAGACCTGCAAAGGCCTGTGGCAATAGAGAGCAGGCTATTAGGGAGTGGCAAACTGCCCAGTGTAGCTGGAGTTTGAGGTGCGATGGGAAGAGTGATGAGCAATGCGTTTGGAGAGGGGAGCAAGAACAAGGTCAATAAAGATCAGATTTGTGTCTCAGAAAGATGACTCTATCTCCTTTGCCAAAACGAGGAGAGTGACTGGAAGGAGAGTGAATAACTAGGTGGCGGTGGGGCTGTTCACTGAAACAGGGCAGTGGGAGAGGTCTAGGTTTGAGGCTGGCAGGTGGTTGGTTGTTAGTTTTGGACAAAGCCATGTTTATGCTTCTTTGAAAGATCCAAGAAAAAGATACGGAGAAGGCAGCGTCTGTAAGGATCTTGAGTGTTTAGGATGAGTCTTCAGCATAAGCTATGGGAGCAGATGGAATCACAGAGGATATATGTCAAATAAAAATGTGTCGGGTAAGAAGACAGGAGGGTCTAAATAGAACCCTGAGGATCACCCCCGTTTAGAGGGCAAGCTAGGGATTACTGGTCCAAATTGGAAGGTATAAAGAGAACAAAGGAGAAAAAGACAAAGCAAGGAAATGTGGAGTCACAGAGGCTAGAATAGATTATTGAAAGAAAAAGACAATGGTCCACTGCACCAAACGTCTTAGAGAAGGCAAGGACGATAAAGACTGAAAAATATCCAGCGATCTCGGCAAGTAGCTCCAGGTAACCTCGGTGAGAGCAGTTTCAGTGGAGTGGTGGGGGCCGAAGCCAGATCTCGTAGTCTGAGGAGATCTGGGAGGGGAAGAAAGGAATGCAGGCTATTCTTTAGTGTAGTTTGCATGTGAATTGAGGAAGAGATGACGACAGCTGGAAATAATGGACCAGAGAAGACCCTGTCTGTATTCTTGTGTTCCACTGGCAGTTCTTGTTCTAAAGTTTCCTGATTGAATAGTATTATGTTTAGCATAAGAAGAAAAAATTACTTCCTAGACACAAAATTGACACTCATATCCTTTATGGAATGTTCAGTACACTGAATTGTATTCCCTGTGCCCACAAGTCAAATGTTTCAGAGAAGTTCACTAGGCTTATACATAAAATCTCCCTCATCTTTCCTGCATGCTAGCGACCACACAGACTGAGGTGCTATTAGAAGACAGAACAAACGAGAATTTTGCTCACGTGAAACTCCAGCACTGTCACGTCAGAGGGAATGTTAACTACAAATGAAGCTACTCCATCATTGTAATTTGTTGTGCTTTTTCTTGGATCCAGAACTGTCTTCTCCGGAGTTTCGCCTTCAGGGTTACTGTGATCCCTCCTGCGAAATGGGCAAAGGCACCCTTCACCTGCACATGTTGGACCAAGTCCATTCCAAGAGTTAATACTGACTCTTTAACAAAAAGAAAACCCTAACATAATCCATTCCCAAGCACGGGCTTGGTAGAATTTAATTCAGTAGTCAAATGTGGTTCTCTTATCGTTGTGTTTTAACCACTCCTGGCATATATATGAATTACATTCAGTTCAATGTACAGTTACTGAGTGTTTAATAAGAGCAGGGCACTGTGCTATGTGCTTGTATATAAGCCATGGGTTGAGTGAAATTATTACCAGGCCTGGATCTAGACAGTTGTTTTTCAACATGGCCTGGTCCTATTTCTCCCCGCCCTCATTCTATTCTCCATTTAAGTGTTTACACTGAAGGTCACACAGGAGCAACATGTAGCAGAGATTCTTTTCCTCTGTCCTTTCACAGACTAAAAATGCACCGTATTAGATTTTCTAATCTAACCTTGATGGAATATGGAATCCCAGGCTTCAGGAAAAGAGGAGTAACAACCAAATCCAGTGTGTAGGGAGAGAGGATGCATTTGACATCAGTTACTTTGGTTTCTTGGAAGAATCTACTTATTGGAATAACATGCATCATTCTGAGAATTTGGCAAGTACAATGCAGCACATCAGTCTGCATGGGCACCCATTCTGTCCCTCTGGATTTCTTTATCTGGATAAGGACAAGCCATTCATCCATTCCTTGGTCATTCATATGCACTTATTATCCTAAGTCTGGATGATTGCTATGGTCACTGTGGAAGAGCCTGGCCACTCCATGGACTAGTAAAGTGTGGTTTTCAAGAGGTTGGTAAGATCCCCATTCATGAGTTTCAGCTACAGCGTTCAGTGCCAGACCATCTATCAGACCATTTATCCCATTTATTTTTCTTCAAATAACCAAGCAGAGCCTCATGCCTGCAAGTAGTCGACAATCTGGTTAAAACAGACACTCAAGTGTGAAATAGCACGTTCTCATTTTCAAGGCAACATTCAAACAGATACCAGGTAGTATGGTAGAAGATGTGTGTAAAATATTTAATAATATGTAAGCAAACACCCAAATGACTCAGGGATGCTTTCATAATGTGAATAATTTTACCATCTTATTTGTTTATTGCAAGTAAAATTTTCTGGTACCAGCATTACCTGTTCTTTTTAATAACATAAAAGGCTATCCTAGGGGCCGGCCCTGTGGCGCGGCAGTTAATTTCGCACATTCTGCTTCGGCGGCCCAGGGTTCCCTGGTTCAGATCCCGGGTGTGGACATGGCACTGCTTGGCAAGCCATGCTGTGGTAGGTGTCCCACAGATAAAGTAGATGGAGGTGGGCATGAATGTTAGCTCAGGGCCAGTCCTCCTCAGCAAAAAAGAGGACGATTGGCAGCAGATGTTAGCTCAGGGCTAATCTTCCTAAAAAAAAAAAAAAAAAAAGGCTATCCTTTGCATGTGGAGTAGGGAGGTCACCACTACAGAAAGATGTCTTTCATGAGCATCTCCCCCTCACAGAGCTGGTGGACAGTATTTTGGCAGAGCATATCTGGCAACTGTACTTGCCCAACATTGCAGATTTCTATCCAAATTTTGGAATAAGAAAAGGCTGTGAGAAATGAATTTCTAGATTATTTTAGGAACTCATCTGTACTTTCATTTACTTCCACAAAAATATTAAGGTAGTTGTTATCTAAATCTTTTAGACTTTTATATGACAGATTTTTAATTGCCTTTGAAGTATTAAAATTGATTTGTGCAGCTCCATCGATCGGCTGTGTTTCAAAAGGGGGACACAAAGATAGAAGCTGTAGTATTAGAGAACTCGCTAAGAGGGAATAGCAAATTCTGCTTTCATCAGCCTACAAAATCTTCACTTGACAATGACATTGTGGTGACAGCTAGTGGTAACACAAAGCATAAGCTTGAGTCTATGAGGTACGCTTATAACTGATTAAGATTTAGGTCATTTCTTTGGAGCCTGAAGCCTCAGGCCATATTGCAAAATCACGGAAAAAGAACCCTGGGTAGGACTGAAAATCTTTGAGTCAAAATCATGTCTCATCCTGTTCAGCATCTGAGGCTATAATTTGGGTACTACTATCTATCTGACGAAACCTTATCTAATGTCCTGGATACTATGTCCACAAATAAATAAAACTGCTACTGGAAGCAGGTTTTTGCAAACTCAAACTTCCAAATCGAAGACAAATATCACTGTAACTTATTTGTTTTCATCAGTGGAACCTCCAGAAACCCAAGTATTATTGGTTTTGTTTTGTCTAGTTTAGTTCTATGAACTTTTAGGAGTGAAAGCCCGTTTTTAAACTCTATACTCTGGTGAATTGCCCCCAATTCTCCATTTCTGTGAAGGTAACTTGATCTCTTCTTACCTTTGTCTTTTGTTTTGCTTCAAGCATCATTTCTTTTCCACTATCATCTAAATCTTCTCTTAACCCAAAAAAGACAGAAATTCAGCCTCAGTTACATTCTTATTATAAGAATATCTGTCAGAAGAGAATATAATAAACCCCTTTTTTGATAAATCAATTACGGGTAGTGAGATATAGATAAAATATAACCACGGGAAATTTGCTTTTTACTCTTGAAACAGCGTTCGCACCCAGTATTGCATTTTATCCTTACGCTCTGCAGAGGCAGAGCTAAGGTAGGTATTTTTATTCCCGTTGACAGATGAGGAAATTCAGTCTCAGAGGGATGAAAAAGAACCTGCTGAACTTCCTGCGGCTTTTAAGTTCATAGCAAATTAGTGGAGAAGTGAGCTGAGGACCCAGGTCTCTGTAAGGGGCATACTTCTGTGACTGAAGCATGGTGTGGCAACAATAGGGACCCTCTCCTCAATGCTCCTTATAGCAAAAGGCGCAACACCACATCCATCCCACATGTACTGGAGGCAAGTTATTTTCAGCTTAGCCCCATATTTGCCTTTTGAGTCAAAGAAAAACATGAACTTTCCCTATTTAAATATAAAACAGGCAAGCCAGTGTTCCCACTAGCTCATCTGCCAAGTGTGATTTTTGGGCCTGTTCAATCAATTCTATAACCACATTTGATAATTAAGTTGTATGATCAATTAATATTAACTAGGTCACAAATAAGACGTGAGTGTTTTCATATCATATTTCTAATACCTAAGCAGTTGTAGTCACCTGAATAGTCACCATGATATTCAGTCTTCAGGATTATTTGCTTACAAGAGTGTAAAACAATTGTAAGACTGGAATCGGCAAATACACTTCAGGAAATCTCCCTGAACCCACTTCCCACAACTCTGGGAGATACTATTAATCACAGCAGCTTTTACCTTGACCCTCCGAGTCTTGCTTAACATAGGACCCCAGGCAAGCACTACCAAGCAGCCATTTTTGACTCTGGAAATGAAACCTGTTTGCCATTCAGGGGCTAGATGAATCTGAAAATAATAATTTTCTTACCTAGCTTTTAGAGTAATCTTGTTAAGTCCTCAAAGTTTTTATGGGTAATGAAGTAATTTTCTGGTTCTATTAAGATAAAGAAGTGTGGTTTTGCCGAATATAAACCTAAGCAAAAAAATTATATCCTTTAAACTCTATTTCAAGCAAGGAACCTTTTATTACAATGAGATAGACGAACAAACACCAGTACCATAGATATCCTTCCCTCTTGTCACACAATCATCAATACCCCTCGGAAGGCTATTTATCCTCCAGTCAGGGGTCAGTCTCATCTTTCTGCTCCAGCAGTGATGGCTTTACTAGAGCATGTGTGTTACTGTCAAAGTGTGAGCTCCATGAGGACAAGTCCTCATCTTATTTATCTGTGTAAACATTTTCCCCCAGTGTCTTTTATATTGTTTAAGTGTTTGATAAATGTTTATTAAATAGGAAATTTATTGCTTCTTTAGCATCTTCTGTTTATCAATTCTCTTCCACTCAGTGTCCAAAATATGAGCATAAATCTCAAACACTCACGTAGGAAAGACATTTTCTAGTTATCAGCTGTAGAAATTAACTTCCAAAAATGAGGATTAGAACAAAGGGAAGTTTTAGACTTTCCATCTCTTTGAAGCTATAATTCAAATAATACTTTTTGGCTGCTTATAGGACTATGTCTATTCCTTATGTCCATTCAAGAAGTGATGCTAGGTTTCACAATGCTATTTACCACGCACTGCCCTGCAGGCTGCTTACCCCAATCTGAGAGGCTGCCCTCTGGAGAGAAGGGAGACTCGGCTCCACGGCGGCCAGGGCAGGTGGTGAGCGGCTGGCAGGAGAGGGGCAGAGCAAGTGTCTCTGTTCTGGCTGCTTCTCTCCGCGTCAGAGAAAAATGCCCTCCAGTGTACCGGTGAAAAGACAGAGCAAGGACTTTGAAACTAGGAACAGTGTCCAAGAGTGTCAATAAGCAACTCCAAAGTTGAGGTTAATTGCTTCAGAGGGCATTCCGCTGCTGCGGCTTTAGCAGGTTATATGTTTCAAATTTTTACACGTGCTTGCTCTTCTCTCCTAATTATAAACACTTCTCTATCCCCTCATCAACCTGCTGTGCAGAAAACATGGTTTAAACAGCTCAGTAATGAATTTATATAAAAGCATACAAATTAATAGTCTAGTAAGCCCCTATGGGAAATGAATAGAAGAAATTCTTTATAAGTTAATTATTAGTACAATTAATATGAATATTTCCAAAATAAGTATCCTATATTTTGTCCCAAACATTGTAATTTTCCAAACACATCATCAATTTTTAGGGCCAATGGGAAGGAGCACTGGCTTGGGGTTCAGAGGGAGCATTCTTGCTCTCAGCCTGGACAAAGTGGCTGTGAGAACCTAGACCCCATTTCTCTGGGTCTGACTCTCCCCACCTGGACTTATCTGTAGATGAGAGGATTGAACCAGATGATTCCTAAGAGTCAGAGAACCACGGGTCTTGCAAGGACATTATCTAATCCCACTCTCTTATAGGATGTGACCCCTTGCAGAACTGTGGTGAGGAAACAAGGCCCAGAAAGTTCAGAGACCGAACAGAGGTGAGCCAGACCAAGAGCCCCAGGTCCTTGGCCGTCTGTCTCCCAGTCCACGTCTGTCCACTGCTCCTCACTTCCCCTTTCTTCATGAGTTTTTAATCTACAAAATTATTGAGAACAGTTTTTTAATTGCACACAGGAAATCTCAGTAATTTATGAGAAATTACCATGGCTTTTAATCTCAAAATATGCAGTTCCTGTTGTTGTGAAATCCTCTTTGTATTTAGCTTTAATTGTCCATAAACCATATCTGTGAAAGCAATACATTTAAAATTTTAGGTATCATCAAATAATATATCTTCAGTTCACCCAATGATTGTAGCTAATATTCAAATGAGCCCCTAGTAAGGGCCAAGCACTGTTCTAAGTGGTTTACATGTGTTAACTCATTCAATCCTCACAAAAATTCTATGGAATAAGTTATATTATTATTTTCATTTTATCATCAGAAAAATGAGGCCCAGAGAGGGGAAGTAACTTGGCCAGGAACACACAGCTACTAGGTGGTGGAGCTGGGATTCAAACTTGGTCATTCTGGCTCCAAAGCCCTCGACCACAACTCCATGCTTAGACGACCCTGACAGCAGCTTCAGATTTATGCACCACTTAATTAACATACCATATTTGAAAGGCGTTTTAAAATTATAAACAAAATTGTGCATTTTAAGAAGTTTAAGAATTATAAACACACTGAAGTTTGATTCATTCTCTAGTATAGCACAGTATATATTCAGCTGGAAAATATTTTTAATTTAAAGGCATTGATTACTCAGTTGATGAACTCATCTTGAAGCTTAATTGTATTAATAGATATAATATACTATACAGTATACCAGAAAATAAGACTACATTTCTAGGACCCTTTGATCAGGTTAAACTTATCAAAATGATACCAATATATAGTTTTGGAAATTTTACAACTCAAGGCCAGTTTCAGAGGGGCAGCATGGTACAAGGAAAGAGCAAGAATGAGTCTGGCCATCAGAGAGATCTCCACCATTTAAAAACTGTGTGGTGAACAAGCTTATAAATTTCTCTGAGCCTTAATTGCTTTATCTTGAAAATGGGAATGATAAAGGACCCAGCAGAGTGCTTGGCACATAGTAGAAGATCCATAAATGTCAGTTCCCTTACCATTTTGAAGTGTTACATTTTCAAGGCATTATGCAATATAAAAGTCTCAAAATACCTTCTAAGTTCTAGGAATAAATGTCAGAGAAAATTCCAAAGCCTCTGTGGAATATTAAACACTACTAGTAGATACCTTCCATTTGTATATATATATATATATATATTATTTTTTTTTTTTTTTTGACGAGGCAAAACAGCTTTATTAGGACTGAGAGTGGGAGAATGAGAGGAGGACCTGAGATGGCATATGAGCTAAAGAGTAGAGATTAGGTTCCAAAATGGCAGAGCTCATCAACCAAATGGACCCCACTTTCCAGCAGCTTTGAGGTTAGTACAATCAATAAAGGCCTGCTGGGAAATGTATTTGCCACTAAATCACCCATGTGCGCCACCATTGCAAAAAATGTACAGGGGTTTTATTTTTCCCCCTGTAATTAAATTTCCACAACACCTCCCCAACCACAAGTATTACGAAAGAAAGGGGAAAAAAATCACATTTTACAGATCTTAGACTTGTCTTCAGCTTTTAGTTCAAAGGTCTCATCATCTTCAAAAAATAGTTCTGCTAAACTCATCAAAATAAACTTAAGCTTCGATAGCTCAAGTTCTATCCAAGTAGTGAGAAGACGGCCTTTGCTAGCCCATTTTCCCTAGCCAGTTAGGACTAAACAGCAGATTGAGGCTCAGATTGGCGGGGGAGGGGGGCGGTGTACATGAGGGCTAATTTCCCCCAGTACAAGATGGCATCTGAAGCTTGATGGGAGAGCAGAACTGGAGAGACTTGAGGGAAGGGTCCAGGCTCGGTGTTCAGTCAGAGTCACTGCTGGAAGAGGAGGAGGAGGAGGAATGCTTGCCATGCTTGTGGTGTCTGTGCGCCTTTTTATGAGCTTTCTTCATTTTCTTCTGCATCTTCTTGTCCATCACCATTCCTGGTCCTACCAGGCCAGGAGCCAAGGGATTCACAGGAGGCATGCCAGGGGCAGGTGGTGGGCATGGTGGGGGGTAGGGACCTGAGGGTGGGCATCCTGGATAGCCTGGCGGTGGCACAGGATGAGCAGGCCCACATGGGGGGAAAGCTGGATTCCCAGGGGGAGGTCCTGGGGGAGGGGGGCCTGGAGGAAAGGCAGGATTGACAGGGGGTGGATGGGCAGGATTGGGACCTCCGGTGTGAGGGGGATATGGACTTGGCCCTGGATGCCCAGCATTGGGATTCCACATGTTCAGGTGTTTCTTCTAGGCTTTACACCTCCAGCGCTTGACTCGTCCTTCTCAGACTCCTGTATATATATTTTTCTCTCTTCTATTATACTCTCAGAATTTTCAGAGCAAGGTCTGTCTCCCACAGTATCCACTACCTGGACATTGCTGTGGAAGGTGCTCACTAAATTGGACAGAGCAACCTAGCTTGGTGCTTACAGCTGGCAGTATATATCAGGCCCCCTGCCTTGATGCAGAAGAGCTCAGCTGGGTGCCACCTTCCCTTAGGCAGGAAGGACTCTCACTGGGCCTGAGAAGAATAGCCAGAACCAAACTTCGTTTACATTAGCATCTTTCATCCACGAGTAAATGGCTCCATCAGACGGTTCAATAACCCTAGTTCCCGCCACTGCTTTTAAGAGAAACCACTTTATCAACAAATCATTTAAAATACTTAGCATCAGATGGAATCTTGAAGTCAGGAAAACTGATAACTCCGGTATAATTTTTTTTTCCAACCACGGCAACCTCTGACCCTTCTGGATCCTTTGAGCGAAGAGAAAAGCAAGTTATATTTTTTTAAAACAATCTATAAATACAGAAGTCATACAGAAATATAATATGTGATTGGTAGTTCTTATAGAAATATTCACTAAGTTCCTTCCCCCCACAATTCTCCCAAGGTGAAGTAAGATGTCAAAGCTGCCACTGTTTCTTCTTAAAGTGTTTCCAAGCCAGTCTGCTGCAGTCATGTCACTGTCATGGTCATCTCCACATCTTGCTTCTTCCTGGCTCCAGACCTCTGCTCTTTCTGCATGTCTCCTGAGACACAGTCCAGCTTCTCTCTATGAAACTCTCTCTGTGGTTTCCTTTAAGTCTGAGCTAGGACTTGCCCCTGTCCTTTCATATTGCCTCCAGTGTAATTTAGTAATCATCTCCACTTTGCCTCCCCTTTGAGCTGGTCCGCTACTGGTCCTACATCCTCCCTTACTTGGTTTACTGTATTCTGTGTATTTGTCCGGCATCCTGAACTCAAATGCTCACAGAAGGACACACTCCATAATCTCCCAAATAAATCAAGAGAAGCTAAGTGCTGAAGCTCTGGAGCTCTGGATTTGAGTCCTGATTCAGCTAATTATTATCAGTATGATCTCATGATTCCTTAATTTCTCGAACCCTCAGCCTTTTCATCTATAAAAGGAGATAATAATTATATTGATCCCATAAGGTTGCCATGATGATATAATGCATGCCATGCACTTGTCACAGGAACCACAATTTATACTTCTACAACGCTTGTCACATCTGCCCATGTTTCACGGACAGCAAGAGGATACAAACTAATTAACTGACCCACTTTGGAGATGGTGCCACCAAACGGTGTTCTTTAATGGGGCCATCAAAATATATTTCAATGAACGTTTAATTTATACACAAAAATTGTCAATTGGAATAAAAGTATAAAATTACCAGGTTGCACTCACAAAAGACGCTAAATAAATGCTTGCTGCTATGTAATATTGAATAAATTAACACCACATTTGACTAATATTATAATAATGAAAACTCTTCATTCATATAATGGAAATGCCAAGGTTAAATTTTGATGTAAATTAATGGCATATTAACTATAAAAGTTAAGGTAACTTCTCTTTGTGAAGGCTTTAGGTCTTCATCCAATGAATAAATTCTAACTTTTACTGTCAGAAAAAAATTGTCATTGTTAGAAACTCTGTTCAACTCTAAATTACCTGGCAATATTATTAATAACCCTATAACATGAGGGTCATGAAATTAAAAATAAAATTAATAAAACTGAAAACATAAAATCCAACTTTAAAGGGAAAGATGATAGGATGTTGGACGTGAACTTTATATTAAAGTGGAAAAACCAAATTTTTTTCACAAAAAAATGTCTTGAATGGGTCCTTTTAAATATTTCTCTTTATGCATTTAAAATATGATTCAACTCATTAAGAAATATTTTTACTCAATTTTTTGTATTTTTAAACAACTGATAGGTAAGAATGACTGCAGTTCACTGGTATCTGAATTTATTATAGAGTGGAGGAGGAAAAATCTAAGCAATAAGTTGTGTCAACAGAACCCAGGGAAGCCTTCTCTAAGATTCAGGCGAGGAAGATACAGGCGAGAATCTGTGTGTCTCAAGGTATAATTAAGTACTTGAGTGTGTAGAAGGGTGAGAGCTTCATAGGCACGACTGCTTTCCTTACACAGGCATCTTCTGATCAGATGTCCAAGAAGCAGTTCTGACGGTCTAAAGTACTGGCAGGGACCTTGACCTGTTGCTAAAATTATGCGGTGATCTCCATCTTATCTCAACTAATTAGCATCATCACTATCACCATCATCTTCAGTGGCCATTCATAAAGTGCTGCTGCCTTCAGTCCACCCCCATCAGCTCCACCTTCCTTCCTGCCCCTGAGATAACTTGTAAGAGGGAATTTACTGAAACAAAACTGAAATCATTTTTAAATGGAAACATGAGGAGGCAGATGTTGCTAGGTAGATTTTGCAGTTTAGCTCACAACTTTCAATGTTACTAGGAAATTGAAATATTCTTTGTAAAAGGAGATGATATTGAGAATTAAAAATGAGTTTTTCCAAGCTAAAATTCAGTCTCTGTATTAACTTGAACTTCTATAATACGTCACTTCGTTTTTTTTTAAACTCTTCTTTAAAAACTTCATTTTTTCCCCAAAAGATAAGCCACTTGACCCAATACCATTAATTGATTCATCCCACTTTCCCCCAGGGATTAAAATTCCCTCTTTATTATACCTGACTGATCTGAATTGTAAACAGATTTACCTGTCTGAATGAAGAGAAATCCATTGTCATAGCATAGTGGAATTTTTGCTGCTTTTGAAAAATGAGCAGATACAACTTCTAAATACACATGTGAAACTGCATTTTGTCCTCCAGATAAATCTTTTGGTTGTATCTGTTAAAAAAAAAAAAAAAGAGTTAATGGAGGAATATCATATATTAATCTTAAGATAATAAAAGCATTTGTCTTTTAGGTATCTATGAAAATGATTTGAATAGTTGTTTATATGCAAGAAACATGAACATTTTGTAAAATAAAACTAAACATATTTTTCTCCAGAAACAACTCTGTATTTTGGTTTCTTATCAAATTTAGTTTGAAACAGTTACTTTAAAAAAATTGATCCAGATTTAATGTCTATTAAAAATGACAATCACTGAAAGAAAATCAATTTTTAATAAACAATAAAAAGTCATTAAGAAAAGATCAAAAGCTGAAAAGCTTATCAGCAAGGGAGGGGTGGGAGAATGGGGTGACCCATATGTCAGGTAGAAAGTGGACTAAGTGACTTATCACATGGTAGTGTACAGGAACAAAATCTCTCTTATATTTATATTATATTTGGACTTATACTGAAAGTTGAAACCTGAAACCTTTCTTTTGCTGATGTTTTGCATGTCTTTTGGTCATTATACAATTGGTATGTTGTCCTCTTCAAATATATTGCCTATGGTCAATATATTTTATAGTAATAATGTTGTGGACATATCTCTAATTTTCCTCGCACATTGTTCATAAATTTATTTGGAAGAAAATTTGTTTGATTCAAGTCCAAACAGAAAGTGCAAAAAGCCTATGATAAATAGATATTTCAGGAAAAAATGATTTTTTTCTAGAAAAATATATATGTATATCGTTCAGGAAAACTAATGTTCGAAATATTCTTCATTCAGTTCTCTGAAATTTTTAGATCAACAGAGTCAAACCTATATTTATGTCTCTCTATTTTTTCCTCCTAATATATAAAATTCAAATATAAAAATTAACTCTTTCTAGTATTCATCATGTAATTTTGAAATGGGAACGTGCGTTGGTTGACTTAGTTTTCAACACATTACCAAATCTTTTCACCTTAATAACCTTTATCTGCTTCATTCAAACTTTTACATTTCCTTCCATTGCCTCCAAATCAGAAGCAGATTCTCTATTTAACATTTCCCCCTTACTTACACGTGTAATCATATGGCACTTATCTCTCAACTAGTGAACTCACATAATAGTGCGATGTATCACATTTTTACCCACCTATGTAAACAGGATCAATGTACCATCTACGTATGTATTTTACAAGGAAACTTTTGGCAGATAAAAGAAACTACAAGAAGAATACATACAGTTAAGTTTGCAGAGCTTTGGAATTTATTCTCTGGAGATAAATTAACTTGGCCAAAAGAATATGTAAAATTTTTGTCAGGATAACTTTTAATAGCGATGGTCGCAGCAAATGATTCTGTGTATCCCTGAGCTTGAATTATTACATTTTCAGGGGCTCCAACATAGACTACTTGAGATGCTGATACAATATACCTGTTGAATGAGTGAAATTATAGAATCAATCTGTTAATAAAACATCATTTTTTAATGTTCTTCACTTAGGAGAATCAATTCAAATTAGCAATGTTTTTCTTATACTTAATAATATACTTTTTATTTCTTAAAATTTTATTATCTGTGATAAAGCCAGGATAGCTTCTTGGAAGCATTCTAAGACTGAAATTTCAAGGAGGTAGATGGAAGTGATTTTGATCAGTTACAGCCAAGGAAATGTTTAATAGAGTTCTCTACAGGAAGTGCAAATAGGGATCTTGCTTCGGTCTTTTGAAGAATCCATTTTTAATCAAAATACCAATTGGTAAGTTACTCTTCCCCCAGGGCAGGAATAACAGCCTGGGAAAAATACAGAGTATTAAAATACAACCCATGCGAAGCTCACAAAGTACTCATATTAAAAAACAGAGTAATGGCATTGGACGATAAAGAAAAGAGGAAATTCACTTGGAATTTTCAGAAGTAGAAAGCTAATTTCATGTGGCATTGACTGAATTCTGCTTTCTATAAAACTACAACTAAAATACACTGAAAATGGGATCTTTCACTTACGTTTGTTTCTGTCCCCAACTTCTTCCCAAGTAGAAAAAAATACAGACTATACTTAAAATGTCGATGGCTGGGCTAGCACTAAACTGTTGACACAATCTTTCTTGAAACTGCCCTCCTTTTTGTGAACTCAGCTTGAAGAATTTGGTTAAATTAGTCTTCAGGTTAATTATTAATGTTAGATAGTGGGATCACTGAGAAGGAAGCCTAAGAATTTAAATGACAACCTTTTAGTGTCCACAAGACACTTGATTTTGATGAGTAAAGCAGAAAAGACACCCAAATGGGAACCTCTAGGAAAATGTTTCAAAGGTGGACACAGACACAAAATACTTGGAGGCTGCTCTGGTCTTGCACATTTTCCGAGTATAGCAAATGCAGTTGATGCCTGACCAGATCCCCTCTACTGGGCTCAGCACACTCATCCTACAGGTGCTGTGAGTGTTGGCTGCTAAAGTTTCCTAATTGCTCCCTTCTCCAAGTAATTCAGCTCAGCCATAGGAGACAGCTTGCCCAGAAATGTCTGGGAAGTTACATCCTCTCCTGGGATTAGTCCACAGTCAATAATTTACTGATTCTAGGGGCACAACCGACTAGTTCCCTCGCCTCAAGGTGGGACAACCTTGTGGTACCATTCATGCTACAGAGCCCCTCATGGGATCAGGCTGAGGCTAGACCTCAGTTGAAACCATGTCTTTGCTTAGCTTCTCTCTTGCCCTGTCCTGCTTCCCTGACTGCTTACAGGTTTCTCTTGAGAGGAGTTTTGCAATAAAGCACTTGCATGAGAATCTCTCCGTCTCATGCTCTGCTTCTAGGGAATCACTCTAAACTTAAGGAACATGGGAGGGGACTATCATCCTGGACTCCATGTGGAATGTCTCAGACATGGAAACGGTTCTGAATCTCCCCTGGAATGGGTCTGGTTTGAATTTGGGCCCATGAGGCCTGTACTGATCTACTTTAGAACAAGTCTGAAATCCCAAGGCAGTCTCCCAAATGCTGAGGTGTTCCCAAGAACTCTTGGACCAGAAACGACCCATCAATGACCAGGACATGGCCAGGAAGCTATGAAGCTATTGCTCTCTTAGGCTTTCTCAAGTCTTCATTCAGTTGCATGCACAGACCCATCCTGAAATACAACTCTCTAGGTATAGTCAGGCTGACTGATGGTTAGGGTGATGGGTTTTGTAATTGCCTCTTCACTTGTTTGTTTTCCCCTCTAGACTACAAGTATCATGAGGACAGGTACTGGGTCTAACACATACAAAGGGGATACACCCCAAAACTTATCATAGTGCCTAAAAGACACTTAGACGCTCAACAAATTGTCAAATGAATGAATAAATGAATGCATGATCAGGTGGGCCAAGGGAGATGATGTTGCAAGATAGGTTGAGGGCAGATTATATATGGCCTTTAAGGCCATGCTAAGGAATCTAGACTTCATTTTGTATGCAGTGGGAAATGAAGGACATTTTTACCTTGCTGCTCTGACCTGAGGATATTGTCATCTCTTTATGACCTACAAGTGTTCTTTGTTCCATAAAAAGAATATAGGTAGTACATGCTATGCAAAGTATTAGTGAAAATTGTTCTCTAAGGTAAAATACAAGCAGAAATTAATGAACGTCTGAGATGGATCAAACATTCATCCACAATGGCAACTTTTAAAAATGATCTACCATAAAAGCATTAGATTTTGATAATGTTTGTTACGCAGGAGTCTCACAACTGTAAAGCTAGACATTATAATTTTGTTGGGACTAATGGAATTGTATGAGTAGTTAATGAACGTTCTCATGGAAGTGATATTACTGACATATCTTCTGAACGGGGGCCAGTAGGCTAATATTTAAACCACCGTCTGAGTTCTGAACCATATTGAGCAGGAACAACGGTAGGAAAATTGCTAAGCAACAATAGACTGAAAAGGATGACAATGTGGTGCAACCGATAGGTTGGCTTCAATTCAGTCCAGAATATTTTCAGACCAACAATGTCAGAAACACTCTCATTGCTGACAAGAGTGGTTGCAGCTGCGTTTTAATTTTTGGCCAATTGTCTCAGTAGTTGATGTCATCTAAAGGAAAAAAACATTTTATTTCAAGGTCATATTTAACATAGGGCAACTCTTTTCACACAGGCCTCAAAATTTTGGTCCTAAGAGGACACTTTGTGTTTCTTGTTTTAGACTCAGTCTCATGCATGGACTCACATCATCACCAAGAAGAAATAAACACAGTAACAAAGATTTGGAGCCAAAAATGTTTCTGGTCAAATTTCACACTATTATCAGTACTTGCGTATGCTGAATAGGCCACAAACATTTGACATTCCCTAATACTGAAAGTTTTAGAGTTCTTCCCTCTACCTGTGACAAATCAGAGGAAAAAAATGTACAAGTGGGGTTATCTCAAGGTTTCTCCACGACAGCACTGTTGACATTTTGGGCTGAATGATTGTTATGAGCAGCTGCCCTTTGCGTTGTAGGCTGCTTAGCAGCACGCCTGGCCTCCACCCACTAGATGTCAGCAAAACCTTCCCAGTTGTGAAAACAAAATGTCCCTGACATTGCCAAATGTCCCCTGGTCAGGAGCAGAGCAAAATGGCCACTGGTTGAGAACCAGGGCATTGCTGTACGGTTTAGTATTTAAAGGGAGAAAGAGGAAAGTACTTACTTGTGTTCATATCAAAGATGGAGAATTCAGCAGGCTCTCCACTTGAGTTATTTGACTATTTTAAGCTACCATTGCAAACCATAATTCTCTCAGTTTCCTTCACAAGGAGGAAAGTCATTATTTCAAATGCCACTTCTCTATTGATGACTTCCAAATTTCTCTCTCCAGCGGGGACCTCTCCCTCTGAATATTGGAATACTCCAGAGTTCAGGCTTTTTTCTATGTACAATCACTCACTAGGCAATATTATCCAATCGCATGGATTTGAATACCGTCTATATACACTGACACACCAAAATTTCATTTGCTGGACCTCTCTCCTAAACTCCAGAGTTTTAT